ATAAAATTTGAAATATTTTATTTGATTGAAAAAAAAGTATGAAAGTATAAAATAAATGAACCAATAAATAGAAGAGTTAAAAAAAATACAAACTTTAAAAGAATTGCCATGCAATATGAGCTATACGATAATCCAAAGAAATAAACTATTTCTATGAACAATTTCTTCTCTTTCTCTTTCTCTCCCTCTCTCCCTCTCTCTCCCTCTCTCTCTCTTTCGTAAATATTTTTTCTTCTTTATGATTTGTGAGTTTTTTTTTCAAAAAGAAAAAAAATAAATAAAACGATTATTTTTAAAACTTTGTTTTTGACAATATTATTCTATTACTTTATTATTAAAATAAAATATAAAAATTAATCTCTTTTTTCGATATCACTCTTAACGATTATTTAATTATTTAAAACCAATGCTTATCTTCCTAAATAATCTTCAACTGATTATTAGCAAAATGAATTTGTAATTTATCATTTAATAATTAATTACAGATAATAATTCATTGAAAATATTACATATTTTAAAATAATTTTTGTTTAATTTTTGATTAAAATTGATGCTTACAATCATAGTGAATGGAATTAATTTAATAAAATGAATGATAGATGTATGTTTATCAAAAAAAAAAAAATTAACGTTTGTTCAAGGATCCTGAATATGCTTTGATTATAACTGATCATTAATCTTCTTCTTAATGATAACGTCATTTTAAATTTAAAAAAAAAAAAACTAGAATTAATTGTTAGCAAAAATATATGAATGATCAAAGTTTTCTTGTTTTCTTGCCAAAACCATTTGTTTGAATAAAATTGATGCTATCATTCTTTGGTAAAATTCATTTCAAACAAATTTTACATTAAAATATTTTGGAATAAGAGAAAAAAAAAAAAAAAACGAAATAAACTGTGAAAAAAAAAAAAATTTTCCGCTCCAAAGCGCATTATACAACTGTTACCAAATCACTTTCCTATCACATTGATATTTCCGGTGGAAGTATAAATTTCGACAAACTGTAAATTTAAACAACAACAGTGATATATCTTATGGTAATTTGTGTGAGATGAGAAAAATGTAAGTACAGTTTATTTAGTTTTAAATTGTAGCTAATTACTATTAAGCTCATAAAATTGTTTGATATCCGTTATTCAATTGTTCGCATGAATTCATATTTCAGATAATTTGCGCCTCATAATTTCTCGCAGGAAAAAATACCAAAAACAATCATTGATTTAGCACATGAAAAAGTTCAACATGAAAATTTGCAATTAATTAAAAAATTAGAAGCTCAAGGTTAATTATTATCTTTTTTTTTTTTTTTTTTTGTTACAATTTACAACTTTTAAAGAAATAAATTTTGCAAAGATTTGTCGATTTATTCAAAAATATTTTGATTTTGGATTAAATTATTATTATTTTTATGATTACTTACCTGCGTCGGTTTCAACAATTTTACCTGTTCTATTGAGGAAAATAATTAAATTTTACTGGTAATTGACCTGAATCATACTGAGATTGAGTGAGATTTGCATTAATAGTGATTTAATTACTTTAGAGTGCAAAAAATTTGTCAACAAAGATTAATTAGTTATTTGAGTAAAATAAATGTTGTCTTAATTAAATTAGGAAATTCTCTTGTAAAAAAAAATAAAATAATGCATTTCACAAAGATTGTCAAAAACTTTAAAAAACAATCATTCAGCAAATCATTAACATAATTAAATGATTGTATAGAAATCATTCGATCAATCGTATCAAGATATCTTTAATTATCAATCTTTTAGTAGTTTTATATTTTTAAATTTCCAAATGATAATGATGAAGAGTGATATCATTTAACAAAATCATAAAACAAATGAAAATGTCTTGAAATAATTTCGAAAATTTTCAACATAAAGCAATAAAGGGTAAGATAAAAGCGAAGTTTAACAAATTCTTGAAATTTTGTATATTTTTTTTTTTTTTTTGATGGGTGGAATTTTTTTTGTTTTGAAAATTTTTCAAATGTTAAAAATACTCGTTGATATTTTTTTTAACAAAGTTGGATATATACTACAATTATGTTATTTTCATTTTTACCTGTGAGCGGGATCAAATTCTGCCAACTGTTAGCTTATGTAAGCTTTAGAAACATGAAGTCGAAACTTGTTTTCTTTTTTCTTCTTTTTTTTAGCATATTAAATATTGGATCCGATATATAATTTCAATAAATTAAAAATATATGGAAAAAAATTCTATCAATCTATATGACATTTGGTATTCAAATTTATGGTACTTGATGAAAGTATCATAAATTTGAAAAAGTAAAAACTGAAAATCAAATTTTAAAACTGTTCAATCTTTCATTCTTTCAATTAGAATAAGTAAACGAAGATCCAAAAAATTTTCTGCTATTTTTGAATATGACGTGAAATCTCCTTACCAAAAAAAAAAAAAAGAAATTTACGAGAAAAATATCCGAAATTTGTTGTATTTTAATGTTAATTCATTATTGATTTTCACTAATTAATTAGTTAAATAATAAGAAAAAAATTTTACGATTTGTTTTCTCGATGTTTGCATATTCAGAACATTTCCAATATCATTATGATACAGTTGTTCACTGATTAGAATCGTTTAGAACAGAAGTTAATGATAACTAGTCGAACTATCCGATGATTCGAACTACATCCTTTTAATTAGTCAATATTTGCAATTAATGATAGTGAATGTTGGAGAAGGTTAGATTTGTTTAATTTGTAATGCTCATTTTCAATCCTAATCGGATTGTTTGTTGATGACAAATAATTAGACTAGGACCCATTTAATATATTAATACTTTTTAGGCTAGTAGTAGCTAGGAAATAAGCCAAAAGCCATCATTGAAGAATGATCTCATTAAAATGACTTACCACAGTACAGCACTATCATCTTTTTCATTTTCTCATTAAAACTAATGAAGCAGTGCTACTCATTAACTTCAAATCCTCTTATATATATATATATAAAGGGACGGGCTATACAATGCTAATTACCGAATATTTATTCGCTTTTTAGGATTGAACTACCATTACGAAATAAAAAAAAAAAAAATCAAATAATATTTTAAAAAAAAAAAGGAAAAAGTCAAAAAATTAAATAATATTGAAACAGTAATTATATTCATTGGTCAAAAACTAAGACAAATTATGAAATGACTGCTTGGAATTAAAAATTTAAATAGGATTTTGAAATAATCTGTCAAAAGATCAAAAATCAAAATGTAATCAAATTTCCTCGAATTTGTGTAATTTTCAATAAATTGTCCGGATCGAAATTTCATAATTTCATAATTTGTTAGTTTTTTTTTCTGAATCGGAATTTAATTTAAATTTATTAGCTAAAAAAAGCTAAAAAAAAAGTAAACTGTTATTGCTGTTTGATTCGTTAAGAACTTTTAGACATTACAATAAACAAACAAGATTTGACCTTTCCCTATTGCTAATGGGGTCAGAATAAACAATTAGATAGGATGATTAAGATAGTCTCAGTCTCACATCCGCAATAATCTGCACTAACTTCATCCATCCATTTGATAAATAGTAAAGTAACCAAGCAAACAAGCAACGTCACTTCGGTAAATTTCTCACCGAACAATTGCGCACGATATAGATTATCAGTCAAATCTGCGGTTTCTAATCTCTATCAAATCTATTTTAAGTTAATTAATTAATTTCTAGCTGAACATCGTTTTTTAAGCAATTGCAAACATTGAAATATTAAAAAATTTGTGCATTTTTTCAGTGATATATTTTTTGCATTTAATTAATTAATTTGAAAAGAAAAATTAATTTGAATGCAATAATTAATTTTTCCTCAAAATTAAAACAATAAAAACTTCAGTAATACATTTTGTCTGAAATTTTCAAATTTGTTTCTTAAGGCTAAATTAAAGTTAATATTAATCGATTTGTAAATAGCTATTTAAAATAAACTCTTAATTCTTCATCGATAAACAATCATTTGAAATAGAAAAAAAAAAACTTGACTAAAAATTTAAATAATTTAAAAGTATTATTTTTTTGAATGAAATAAATTATAATTTTGAATGAGCTTAAATTTCTAAATTTTTTTCAACAAAATAAATCATTAGCAAATTATTTAAATTGCTCTCTTCTAAATTGATATACCACAAAATTCATCAATTCTATAAATTCATAAAAATAAAAAAAAAAAAATTTTAACGAAATATCTAATAAACAATTGCAAAAGATAACTTTTCCTAATTTCAAATTTTTTAGAAAACGGAAACTGTACAATCAATCGGATCGAATTGGATCGAACTGTATCAGACTCAAACACTTCTCATCGTTGAATGACGACAAAGTACTGAAGAGGAAACTCAAGAGGCACATGTGTTCAACAGAACAGCAACAGATGCTACCTTTCCTAAGATTTATCCATATGGTTAGTATATTTTACATGATATATACTATTTCGTGTTTCATTCAAAATAAATATTAATGTAAAAAAAGAAAACAAAAAAATAAAAAAAAATGATTTCTCATGCTTAAGTATTATTAATTTGAACATTTTTTTTTTCAATAGTTTCAAATAATTAACTGAATATATTACTAATTAATTAATAAATATTAAACTTGAATAATTATACTTCTTTAAATTAACTAAAGCTGAATGTATTACTAATTAATTAATAAATATTAAACTTGAATAATTATACTTCTTTAAATTAACTAAAATGAAAATATTTGTTATTTTGTATTAATGAAAAGGCTTAATTCTTCAATATTTTATTAATTACTTAAAATTTTCCAAAAAAAAAAAAAAAAAATTCCTTCTAAATTTACTCTTTTATAAAGAAATGAATTACAAACATGAAAAGAGTTTTAAAAAATGAAGGAAGAAAAAAAGAGAGAGAGAGGGAGAGAGAGGGAGAGGAGAAAAAGAAGAGGGAAAAAGAGATGAAATAGAGGGGAGAGGGAGGGAGGAAGAGAAAAACAAATAATATTGCAAAATTTTAGAATAGAAAAAATTTTTTTGCACTCTTTAAATTTTGTTTAAAAAATTGAGCTCAATTGTGGATTGTCAAAAAATTAGCGCTCATACTGCAATTGTTTACATAAATTTACTAATAGTAATCCGATAATTCTCATCACAAATCAAAAATTTGAGATAAAAATTATTAGGAAAATAGCAAACGATTCTGAAAATTGCATCAAAGAAAAAAGAAAAAAAAAAAAAAAAAGAAAAGGAAAGAAAAGAAGATTAGAGGAGAATTTTTCCATAAATGCAATTTCATGCAATTATATATAATTTCTATTAATTCAATTCCTATACGATTATTACTTAAATTATTTTTTCAAAAATTATTAAAAGTTAAATATTTGATAAGTTAAAAAAAAAATTTTCTTTTTTTTATTTTTGTTTTTTTTTTCCGCAATAAATACCAATGAAATCCGTTTTGACGAATGGAATCCGTTTTGTTGCCGTG